CAGTGGGGGGCTCCAACTTCGATGGAGTTGGAGGGTACATATCTAACATCTGACTCAGACCTTAGATCTAATATAACTCTGCTTTGTCAGAGGTTAAGCGGAGTGTCAAATTTGGACTAGGGCTAAATTTTGTTGGGCTTTCTTTTGCTTTTTCGTATGCATTTTACTTGGATTTGGTCTATTTTTTCATGGGATTTGGACCACTTCTTTTGTAGGCGCTACCTTCATTAGTTTTATTAGGAATTTTAAATGTATAATAATATACTATTTAATGTATAAATTATATAAAATCATTTATTAATAAAATTCAAAGTTAAAGTCGGATTTTTTTTGAAAAGAATTTCCGACTCCGACTCCAACTTCGACAGAGGCGGATGCAGATTTTTGGATTCTTGCACACCCATATTTACTTTAGAAGGCAAACTTTGGTTGTGACCCCCCTAATTGGCCTAGTTTTTTATTTATTCTGGGTTTTTTGGAAGCTGATATAATAAATTAGACATAATTATAAAAAAAATACACAAAAAAAAATGTGTTGTAAAGAAGTACATTATTAAGATACAAATACTTAATTGTCCATTTTCTAAAATTTACTTTTTTAAAAACTGTTTTAAGAATATATCTTAAAATTAATTAAGTACACAGTGATAAGATTTAACTGTTGGATTTTAGGAATATTAATTCGCGAAAAGCTTCATCTTAAAAAAACAGTTACCTCTTCTTCTTCCTATCCAAAAATTGTTTCATCTTCCTCAGCGAGAAGCTCTAAATTGTTCTTTAAATATTTACAGGGTTTCGTCTTTGAAAGAAAAATCATACTGGCTCTTTCCCCGATGTGGGACAGAGGTAAAGGCTACTGTGGGGGGTTTGACCCACAGGTTAGCCAAAATCTTTTGATGGAGAGCGGGATATCCCCGGTAATGGAGAGGGAATGCTCTTGGAAGGAGGTATATCCCCGGTAAAGAGGAGATAGATTATTCACATGTAAGTTTGCCTGTGTTTCACGCATAGTGTAACAAAGACAATGTAACAATAAGTGAAATACTGTAACACATACAACGTTCAGTGGTTTTGTAGATGTGGTAACAAATTCAAAACATAACTGAACTGTTACAATGAAGTTATCTGTAAATATATGTTTGACAAAATGTAACAGTACGACGTTTTATGTAAGTAAATTTTTATACTGTTATTATTACACTATAAACGCATATACAAGATAAACTTCGGTTATGATGTTCGCATATTAAAAAAATAGTATAATCACTTTTAAAATGACAGACATAAACCTAATGGAGTCATGAATTCAAATCTTGTAATTGTTTAAATTAAATTATGAGGATGAAATAATATTTTGGACTTGATAAACTGCTTCCACGCCGAACAGCCAGGCCCAGCCAACTGCTGGCCCTTAGCTGGAAAAACTCAATGCGTGCCCCATACATGCCAGGTTTTTTGACAATCACATGGTGGGCCGGGCCTCATCAAAGATTTGTGGACTTTCGTGGCCAGTCCTTGGCCCATAGGTCAAATGTCAAGCTTGGCAGCAAGATAGCTATTCTCTCTCTCTGCCAGCCCTTGAACCCACAACCTGGTGGTTGGAATTTGAGTTTCACAACTACCGAGCTATAAGGAAGGCCGGTGGCAGCAAGATTGCTAACAATATTTTCCAACTTAGAAAGTACGGATACTTTTGAAGGGGTGTTGCGAAAGTGTTGGACATGTGTTCGATATGGGCACGTCTCAAACATGACTAAAAGTGTCTGGAATAGAACTCAGTTTGACCTAATTAGGATACCACTAGCATATACTCTGGATACGGGTAAGACACGACTAAGATACCACTAGAATATGATTATAAATTATTATTATTTTTTAAATGAATGTTAATTGTTATAAAGGGTGTGATTTTTATTTTTTTTTAATATATTTTTTGTTGTGTAACTTATATACTATAAATGTTAATGAATGTAATAATGTAAGATAAAAATTGTGGATATCTATTTTGATCTATTTCAAATTTAATTAAAAAATTAATATTTATTAGGTCTTATTATTAATATTTTTATAATATATACTTTATTTTTAATGAAATAAACTCTATTATTATCTAAAAAAATATATTATATTATTTTAATAGCCGTATATTTTTTAACTTTATTCTATCTCCGTATCTTTATTCGCATCTTCTAGGTTCCAACTAAGGTTCTAAAGTAATTCTAATGGTGGCACCATTTAGTGTTGGGTTCTATACCAGTATGCATTTAATAAATGTGTGTTGGTATTACTACTTAACAATCACAATAAAAAAAAAAAAAAAATTCTATTTTTTAACACTAGTGTGATGACAGTAAAGTGCATGCATATGTCTTCTGATAAGCTAATAAAAGTGAGTGACAACATATGCAGCACCTAAGCACTCTCAGGGAGTATATAGTTATTAGACATAGTTATCTAAAGGGGTTAACAATAGAAAAAAAAAAAAAATTATCCGAAGTTTTCTTTTATTCATGTAGTTCATAATCATCAGAAATGAAAATAGAAGATGTAGTAATAGATTAATACATATGTTATACACCTCTCTATTATATTTTTAGATTAATTTCTATTCAATATAGTATTAGAGCCTAAAGGTCCTGAGTTTAAATATCACCAAACCTCCTCGGTGACTACACACAAAAAAGAATCACGTGGAAAGACCACCAAAGAGGGACCACATCGAAGGGACAAAAATATGTTACACTCTCTCTATCGGTTTAAGTTTTTAGAACATTGAATAGGTAGCAATTCTCGGGTTGGATTTTTATCAATAATTACGCCCGCCAGGATTTTTTTCAATAATTCGGTTTCATTTGCTCACCGTCACTCCATCATAGTTTACCCATCACAATTTTGGGTTTGACTACGATAGTATCGTATCACTTACCAGTTTTTAGGTATCTATGTTATTTTTTAGATGAAGTTTATTAACTTTTGAAGTGCACTCACTTTTTAAGTTCACCGATCACTTTTTAAATAAAATTTATTACTTTTGGATAGAACTTGCTACCTTTTAATATTTTTTTTACTTCTCAGTAGGATACCAAAAAATAAAGTTTATGTATAGTTGTGTTTTCCCACTACTTTTAACCATTCGAAATTTCTGGAGTATGTTTACCAAGTCCGGTCTGGTGCACGACAGTTGATAAAAGTCCCCCATGCCACTATTCATTATTCCTTTTTTTTTTTGTGCAATCGATGCATAGGTCTTGATGCGTCTTGAAAATGAGTGATATGTCGTTCAACTTCCTACAATATAAAAGACTATTAGGTTATCTTTCCCATGAGCTCAAGCCAGAGAGAAGTGCTTAATTATGGTGGTGCACAACAACTCCCAACCCTCCCAACCAGGCCTCATTTGGGCTCATGATTGCGCTGTGAATTCAGGATGTGCACAGTCAATTTAAGCAATCCGTGTTGGGTCAGCTGTAACATCTCTTTCGAGATTTGAACTTGGGAACTTCAAGTGTCAACTACGAAAATCCTACCATCCGACAGATTAGGGATTTTCATTTTGCCTTCTTTTAATTCACACAGTGGAACATGCAACATGACCCTTGTGTTTGCTGGGGGACGCTATCTTTTTCTGTTGCCTACAACCACCATGAAACACTTCCAACCCAAATCTTTATTATTGATAGCAATAGCCATGTGAGGAACACAAGGATAACACTAGACTCCACTATTAGCTTTCTGAATTCGTCTCCTTCCTTAAAACCATCATCACATGGCCCAAGCTACAGAACATATAGTCACTGAACTTGAAAAAAAATTCAGTCACTCAATAATGCAAGGACCCTCTGAGCTCATGGGGTTCAATAATTCAACTCCCCTTGTCCTCTTGTTTAGTAAAATATCCAAACCATGACAAGGTTCTTCACAACATTAATCGATCCTCACTGTTGTTATAATAATCTGTTTATTTGTCAATGGTCAGTTCTCTGGCTTCTGTCAGTAATGTATCTTAGTCTTAAAGAACAGTTGTTTAAAGATCACTCTTCGACCATCCACAAGTTTATCTGATTTTTTTAATATAGAGCTTCATTTATATATAGACATAAAGCAGTGATAGTTACAGGCTTAAAGTGAAACTATTTCTCAATCCACTATGTGGTGATAGGGGAGGACATGCATTGGCGTAGGGGTAAGGTTGCTCCATTGTGATCATCTGTGCATCACGGGTTTGAGTAATGGAAATACCATCTCTATTATCCATCTGCAGTGATAATGATGGGTAATCTGACTCTTTCAAAACATTGTAGTAACAAGAGTTTCGTGCACTCGGCTGTCATTTTTTTTTTTTTGTAATAGATGCTTGGGTTGTTCGACTGACTCATATTAGTCAATTCTTTACATCAGAGCCTTCCCAAGGTCTTATATCAATATCATGATCATGATCTTTATTATCACCCAAATGTATATGAATATAACAATTATCCATTTGTATAATCCCTTGTTCTTCAGCCTAGCCCTTATCAAAACTTAGTCCTTTATCACATGTCATGAAGCTAGTAGATCTCTACCGTTGGTCTCCGATATTTGTTTCTTAGCTTTCTTACACCTTGGTCACTTGACCTAAAAGGATGAAAATTGATTTCTTTCAGCTGCATAAAGTCACATGAAGCAGATGCCCACTCTACTGAACATCTATTCTCACATGAAGCTCCTCTGAATGAATTGGAATTTATGTTCTGATACTACTTTTGAACTTATCATATGAAAATCTAGTTGGACAGATTACAGTTGGGAAAACCCTTTCTTGTCATTGTGCCTCTTCCATTACTGTCCTCTTGATCTCTCTAGAAAAATGGGACTTGACCCTCTTTTCTCCCACATTAGCTTCATTGGGTTCTGTTAAACTTTTGCCTCTTCCCATAAAAATTGACCTTTACCTTGTCATTTCACACCGGATTGTTTTACGAATAGCACTACAATACCGAAAATCTAATTTTTTGATAGCATATTGAAAATGATTCATAGTTATGAATTTTTGTTCGAGTTATTTGGAGTTATTGGTTGCATAAACAACAATTAAAGTGTTTTACGCGTGTCACGCTCTTATTGGAATAAAAGAAGAGATCCGATACTAGGAATTAGCTTTTCTGTACCATGGCTAGTTCTACATTTGGGTTTCCTTGAATTATTTCAGCAACTGGTTGCATCTTCAGAATTCAAATATTTCTTCTGTGGGTAAGAAGGTGAGGGAGGGAGACATGGGGAAGCTCAGCTTTGGCAGGGTTTTGGATTGTCTTTTTCTTCCTTCTGGCTCAACCTCTTGTCTCTGCATAAGTAACTATGACAGAGAAGATGAGTCAGAGAGAAAACCTCTGGTTTCATCTGAAGGTGGTGGTTTAATGAGACTGAAAGATGCCATTGCTGGACCCCAGACTCTGGCTTTCCAATTGAAACCTAAGGTAAGGGTTTACTCACTCTCATGTTTCTTCATTTTTTTTTGCAGAAAAAACAACAGGAAGAAAAAGGAAATCCTCTTTGTTTTTTTACAGGAATTGGTTGATATGTGTATATATCAGCCTATATATCTTTATATATATACATACACACACACACACACACAACAACAACAACAAAAAATTCTACCATGTTGTTTGATTTCCTTCAAATCATTGAAGGAAAAGGAAGCTGAAATTCAACATAGTCTAAAGTTTGAGTGAATGGGTTGAAACTCAAGAACATTACTTTAACTAACCAAAACGCTCTAACACTCAAAACTCTTATTACCCTGGATATTATTTATCAAATCTTGTGGTTTTCAAGTCCTTGAGCTCAGGCATGTTGGATTATATAACCTTGAAGTGTTTGACTTGAAATTCAGTTATGTTCAATTCACCCTTTGTTGTTTCAAACTTTGTGTTTCTAATGAGCTGAATGTCTTGATTTAGTTTGAATTAGCTCATATTTTTGAAGTTAAGAACATTGATTTGAAGGAGTTTGAAAGCAAACCCTGTTTGTTTCTGATCATGATTAGTATGGTTTAATTTAATCTTTTCTGTAGATGGTGGTGCTGAGGGTATCCATGCATTGCAATGGTTGTGCAAGAAAAGTTGAAAAACATATCTCAAAGATTGAAGGTATGACAAAATTGCCTTTCTAATTTTTCAAAAGATTTTCTGTTGAGCTCTTCATTAAAAACTTCAGAAAATAAGATACTGGACATTCCCTAATGACCAGTCATTGTACTATAGGATTTTCCACCAGATGAAGGTACCAATCTAGCAAAGACATACACTGAATACAGTGTGTGTGTAAGAATGTCTGTGTGTGTGTGTGAACATGTACATCAGCATGGACACAAATGTACATGGGACATAACATAAATATCACATAGTTTAAGTGATTATTCTCCAAATCACTATGAATTAGCTGTGTACGCCATTCATTAGCCTTGCCTGTTCAATCTGCCATCTATGCTCAGTCTATATAGTTTTTTTTTTTTGGGATGCTTTTGTTTCAACCACATGGACTCATCACAGCAATGCAAACTTGAATGCACGCAATTTGCGAGTATTAGTAAAACCCGGATATTTTGAAGGTAGATAGATTTGAACTTATGACGTACGCGCTTACATCTCGCCCATTGTTTGATTACTGCACCAAACTATGTGGGTATATCATGCTACTTTTACCAATTAAATGCAGTAAATTTAATTTCTTTCATCTCAGTGGTTACCAATCCGATTCATATCCCATGTAAACACATGCACTTCACAGAACACTAATGCTGTATCTAATGCTGAACCTCTCTCTCTCTCTCTCTCTCTCTCTCTCTCTCTGTGTAAACAGGAGTGACTTCCTACCAAATAGACCTGGAAACCAAGATGGTGGTGGTTATTGGAGACATTACTCCTTTTGAAGTCTTGGACAGTGTTTCCAAAGTAAAAAATGCAGAGCTTTGGACTAATCCCTCCTCATGAGAATGCCCTCCTCTTCACTCCTTTTGTATCCCACAAATGCTGTATAGGAATAGATCCATTTGCTTCCAATTATGTATTTTCCAGTAATTAGAATGAATGAATGAATATCATGTATCCGAGCCTGAGTCAAAAAATTCCAAATTTGGGACCAAGATAAGGAAAAATATGAAATATAAAGTTTTGGGGAAAATTCCAAAATAAATAATTTTTGGGGATCAACTCAATTAACTTCTAAATGGATAATAGTATAGTTTAGACATCTTTTATGTCAATAAGTACAAGCATATATTTTATTAGATTGTAAGGACACAACTTTTAAAATATTAGGCATGAGGTCCAAAGTTAATATTTTTGGTAACTAGCAAAAATTTTGAAATACTAGTGATGAAGTTTATCTAGCAATAAATTTGTAAGTCATAAAGATAAAGTTTATCTAACTAATATTTTGTGGGTATAATTACCTTTAAGGTAATAATTAAAGGTGAAATAAGAAATCAAATTTTTTTCATAAATACTGACATTTATAAGTAATTAATTGGTGCACATGTGTGTTGCATGTGGATCAATATTGTGAATTATAGTCTTGATTTTTTTTCTAAACAATTATTTTCATATTATAACCCACAGTTGTACACAAGTATTTTGATGCAATATTTATGCAACAAAATAATAAAATGTAATAAGTGGTTAATCTGATTTCATATTCTACAAAGGTAAAAAAATCACTTTAGAAAAGCCATAGATTGTTGTGGTCTATATTTAGATGATGTAGAAATTTATTTTGTACACAAAAAGTTCATCTTNTTATCTAACTAATATTTTGTGGGTATAATTACCTTTAAGGTAATAATTAAAGGTGAAATAAGAAATCAAAATTTTTTCGTAAATACTGACATTTATAAGTAATTAATTCGTGCACATGTGTGTTGCATGTGGATCAATATTGTGAATTATAGTCTTGATTTTTTTTCTAAACAATTATTTTCATATTATAACCCACAGTTATACACAAGTATTTTGATGCAATATTTATGCAACAAAATAATAAAATGTAATAAGTGGTTAATCTGATTTCATATTCTACAAAGGTAAAAAAATCACTTTAGAAAAGCCATAGATTGTTGTGGTCTATATTTAGATGATGTAGAAATTTATTTTGTACACAAAAAGTTCATCTTTTTGATAAACAAAAAATCAATTTTTTATCAACTAATGGACAATATAATTGGAGCCTACATTTCCATGTTAGTAACTACTTCTCACTGCCAATTACAACCGAACAATTAAATTACCTTATTCGGAGTTATTTGTACTTTATACTTTATTTGGAATTATGGAAATTACCATCACAAATTGATACATTAATGTCTAGAATTTGTAGTCTCTAAATAAGAAAATGAAAACATGAAGACAACTTATTTCTATGATCACAAAATAACAGCTTTCCTACCACAATAATTTTGCCCATTTATGTATATTTTACACATACCTTTCAATGCCTTAACTCAAATTGATTTCTTGGATGGCAATGATACGCACAAAACAACTTAATTCTTATCTTAGCTAGTAAGAAAATAGTCATTAGATTTATAAATCATTAGCCTGTATGACACTCAAATAAATTAATGAGAAAGGAAATCAAACTTGAAAGAGAAAAAACTATTATTATGGTTGATTGAGATGTATGTAACCAAATTCATTGAGACAACATCTATATAAAAGAAAAGATGGCTTTAATATGAATAAGAAATGCACCATTATTGCAATAAGATAACATTTTAGTGAAAACACAAATTATTATCACTATGAATTGTGTTTCAACAAGAATAAACCTAGATTTTATTCAACGTCAATCTCTATTTAGTCCTTAAAATGGTGGTAATGTAGGAGGTGGTCGTGAACATGTATCATCCTCAAATACATCGCCACTCTAAGCGTATTCCTGGCCATGTCTTTGCCTTATGTATAATGTACCACCCTTTGTTACACAAAATCAGACTCTTGATGCAACAAAAAANTATTCCTGGCCATGTCTCTGCCTCATGTATAATGTACCACCCTTTGTTACACAAAATCAGACTCTTGATGCAACAAAAAAGAGTAATGCTATTGGGACCTAATTTACTAATTTAATTTGCTGATTTAATTCACTATGAACTTTGGATTGACTGTGAGCTCCATCAAATATTGGAACTTGGTATTAATCCAATGGTTCCAATGAAACCACGTTATTAGGTCAACAAATTATGTCAGATTTTTAGATCCAAATAGCATTTTCTAACAAAAAATTGAAATAATTTTAATTTCTTGACAAAATCTATTCTTATNATGTCAGCAAATTATGTCAGATTTTTAGATCCAAATAACATTTTCTAACAAAAAATTGAAATAATTTTAATTTCTTGACAAAATCTATTCTTATTGATAAAATAAAATAAAAAATCAATTCTCCCAAGAAAAGTACCAAATAATAGATTTGTACTTCTTTATTAATCATTCACAATTATCTGGAGTAAGCTCAAATATGAATAATCAAACAACACCATCAGTAAAATAATATCAATCCAAAAATATATGAGTAAATTGAATTCATAAACCATATATTTCACTCAATTTGACAATTGATAACTATTTCAATCCCAAACTCACATGCTCGGCACGCCAAAATCAACCAACCATTCCATTCTCCAAAGGCCATATATATAAGAACAAACCCATGTAACAACTTAAATGGTTTATAAAATTGTATTTCTTTTTTGTTTTTTTATAGGATATATAACTTATTCGTTGGACTCTTATTTTTCATATGCCATCATAATCTAACGCTGAATTATCCAAATGACTAAGCTTTGTGGCAATTCCACCCTATAGGTGAAACCATTTTTTTTTTTTGGGAGGGGAAAGGGGGAAGGGAGAAGGGGTCTTAAACACTTGACCTCAAGAAAAAAAAAGTTTTCACAAGATAATGAGTACTATTGAACCAAAGCCTTATTAGTCTATAAGTGAAACTATTAGAGAACCTTTCGCTACCTCAATTGCTACAGATGAAGCCAAAGTGCAACAAATTTAATGAGTATTTCAAGTTTTTATACATGGTAAGCACGGCTCAAAGAATTCTCCCCTATAAGATAAAATNGACTTCAAGAAAAAAAAAGTTTTCACAAGATAATAAGTACTATTGAACCAAAGTCTTATTAGTCTATAAGTGAAACCATTAGAGAACCTTTCGCTACCTCAATTGCTATAGATGAAGCCAAAGTGCAACAAATTTAATGAGTATTTCAAGTTTTTATACATGGTAAGCACGGCTCAAAGAATTCTCCCCTATAAGATAAAATCTAGAAAGTAAAAATTATTCATCCCAATGCAAACGCCTAAGAACAAAACGAAAGAACAGACTCAAGATTTCCAAAGAACGTATTAAATTCCATCAAAGAAAACATCAAAGCATCCAATGAAGCAAGGAGATCACCTCATTCCAAAAGTACATATCTGAAAATAAAATAACAAAGTGCTTTAGATAATCTTTTTTCAATTATCAAAGTCTCCCTGAGAGATACCTGAGGAGAGAAAGGGCAAGCCCTTGGGAGGCTATTTTTAACATAAAATAAAGACCCAAAGATTTCATGACATTTTCCTCTTAAATTACAGTTACAGAATTTATATATTAATTAGTTTTAGACATACTTCCTAGCTGCAGCCTACATGACTTGCATTCTAAATTTTTAGAGTCCTATGCACAGCAATAGCTATAGCTCTGATAATATGTAGCGAATTTCCATTGAGTCAATACATTCCCCCGTGTAATCTTTTGGCAAGGCAGCAGGTAGAGTTTTGCTGCAAATTAGAGGACAAAATGTTGCAACCATTGGTATCGTAACGTCAAAGTTTACTAGTGTTATTGGTTGAAATACAAATTTTTAGATTTATTCGCAACAAAATAATTTATAATTTTTGGGGTTATATTACAATTTTATTGTCCAAGTTATAACTTTGGGAAGTTCATTCACAATTCCTTATGGTTATTTGCGATCGATCACAAAATTTTTAAAAGTGATCCCATGTAAAAATTATAAGTGATCCTTACAAGCTATAAATGACCCTCAAAGATTATAAATGATCTCCAAATTTTATGAAAAAAAGACTCACTAAACTTACAAACAACAGTAAGATATTGAAAAAAAAAAAATTGGACACTGTAGAATTCTCTTATCCACAGACTCATTTCATTGTTCTTCATTTTCTTCGAGCCACAAGGAGTATCTCTCTCTCTCTCTCTCTCTCTCTCTCTCTCACCGCCATAAACAATTCTTATCCATAGAACCACTTGTGACTGAAAATTAGAAGATTTCTGACAATCTCATTCCATAGAGGTGGCTTAAGAATTCGAAATTTGTTTATGTATTCAATCATCAATCAAAAATAAACAAAAGAACACAGATCTTGGAACAAACAAAAAATAACAGTACCTGTTGAAGTAGAATACCGCTCGTTCCGCAAGGTCAAGACCGACGATGTGTGTCTGAGAGAGAAAGAGACATTGCTGCTTGCACCATTAGTTCATATTCATAGAATCTATAGAGCCACAAAGATGAGGTATTTATCATCACAAGAGAGAAGCAAGGAGACACATTTGTGAGAAGTTATGCACCAATGATCGAAGGAGGTGAACTCAGCCAAATGCTTTTACTATTAAACGAAAGAGAGGTGAACTCAGCCAATCATCTGGGGATTGTTTTATGTTGCGCAAAGAGAATTAGATCCATGTTACTTCAGCTCAGCTCAGCTCCATTTTCACAAGGATTTTTGTTCTTATTGCACCTTCAAATCCGGCAGAAAATACCGTGGAATTGTGTGAATGAATACTCCCGTGACTGTGTATCGATAAATGTTGTGTTTGTGTGTTAACATGCATCACTCTTCTTCCTTAATTTTTAGTTCATTTACAATTTTTATACCCTTTTGAGGGTCTTATTTTACTATCCAAGACAGTGTCTGATTTTATTAAGGTCAATTTCGTCTTTTTTGTGCAATGGTGTCCTTAAAAAACACTTGTTTAGC